CCCAGCCCCATATAATCCCCCAAACACTGAGCCAGGAGTAGTTCCTGAACACTGCTGGGTGTGGCCTCCCATATACATACGTGCATACATACATACATACATAAATGTGCTGTCAGTAGGGGACAGGACACAGACACAAAATAGAATAGTACAGAGAATCCAAAGAACAAACACCAATGCGCAATAACCTCCAAGATCTCTGCGTAGTTTTGTCTGAGCTTTTGCTGTGTGTGTGTGTGTGTGTATGTGAAAGTGTGAATATGTGTGTGAGAGAGTGTGTACGTGAGAGTGTGTTTGTGTGTGTGCAGGGATCAAGCTCAGGTGTGTGAGTGTGCATGTAGGTTTGTGGGTATGTGAGTGCGTGTGTGTGTGAGTGCATGTGAGTGTGTGTGTGTATGTGCAGGAATCAAGCTCAGGTGTGTGGGTGTTCATATGTGTGAGTGTGAGCATATGTATATGTGAGAGAGAGAGAGAGAGAGAGAGAGAGAGTGTGTGGGGGGGGCGCGCGCAGTGCAGGGATCAAGCTCAGGGACTCACAAAAGGCAAAGCTTGTGGTCCAACTCTTTGAGCCTCTTCCCGATCCTGGTCCTGATGGGACTTTTTGATTGTTTCCAGACTTTTGCCAGGCCACAGGTCACATCAGACACACAATTCCTTTCTCCAGCAGTTCCTAGAAGTGGAATTGTGGGTCAAAGAGCGCCAGCATCTTAACATTTCCAGTTGCAAAGAATACTTATGATGCAAATTTCCAACAGCTCCAACTCCTAGGTTGAAAAGTGAAACCCAACACCCCAGGCTGTAGGGAGGGCAGCTAGGGTTGGGGGATTGCTCCCTCTTTTCCTCAGACTTTTCAGGGCTGCTCCTAGCAGGCAGCACTTACTTCGCTCAGAAGGTCTCCTCCTTCCAGGCCTCCCCTCCTTCCTCAGAAGGGACTTTCTCATCCTCCATCCTCCCAGGACATGGACTGAAAGTGAACTCATAGATATGCCTGGTGCCCAGACCTGTCCAATGGCAGAACCCTGGCAGGTCCTTTCAAATCCCAGGATTTTTTATTTTTTCTTTTTGTTTCACACCCAGCGATGCTCAGGGGTTACTCCTGGCTCTGCACTCAGGTGCTTGGGGAGACCATAAGAAATGCCAGGGATTGAACTCCGAGTTCCCCCAGGAATGCTCCCTGAACTCTGAACCAGGAGTAAGCGCCCCAAGCCACCCTCCCCCAACACACAAAAAAATCTACATATAAAGGAAAGAACCAAAAGATGGAGGCATCACATTTCCTCAGTTCTACCGGGGTGGGAGGAGATTGGGGCCAGAGAAGGAAGGTGGGGCTCAGTGCGCAGGTCACAGAGCCCAGCAGAGAAGCTGAGGCCCCGCCCTCCTCCCAGAGCAATTTCATTCATTGCACACGTCTGGCTGGTTTGTTTGTTTTGTTTGGGGGCCAATCCAGCAATGCTCCGGGCTGACTCCTGTGATACCTGAGTGCCTCTGGGTATGGCCGCAAGCGAACAACAAATAAATAAAAGCTAGCACGTGGGCGCAGGAATCTTAGGTGAGTGTGGCGATTTTGAGCTGGAACCCGATCCACAGGAAAGCGTCAGGAAGGTGTTGCATGTGAATGCTGTACTGGACAGACAGGCGAGAAGGCCATTGTGACCGCTGATACAGGTGACTGAGGCACATGGGGATGGTCCCAGGTCCCAGGTCTCCCTTCTGCAGAGCAGCTCCGCTTCTTTGCCCTGTGCTGACCGTACGCAGAGACACATGGTGTGGTCCTACATTACCAGCCGGTGGGCTGAGGCTTCCTACTTCTCTTTCTTGGGGGAAGGGGGGCTGGAGGTGGTGTTGGGCCACACCCAGTAGTGCTCAGGGCTGTTCCTGACCGCTCAGGAATGACCTGCTGAGGGACCAGTCAGGGACCACTGCGATGGAAGGGATCGAACAAATGGGTCCACCTGGTCCCTGAGTTTCCGGAGGAGAGAGAGGAACAGAGAAGAACCCCACCTTCTGCGATTATTCTCCAGCCATGTGAGAGGTGAGGGGTGTTGGATGCCCCTGCAGGAGGCAAAGAGGCCTGACCTGGAGGAATCCCCTGATGCCCGGTTCTCCCTCTGGCCCCAGGTCTTCCACGTTGCTCCTTCTGAGAAGGGAGGGGACTGATTTAGCTTGGAGCCTTTGGGGAAGGCACTGGGCAGCCAGGCAAGAGGTAGTGAGGACAATGAGGGCAGTGGGAAGGAGGGGCATTGGACAGTGAGTGAGGGGCACAGGGCAGTGAGGACAGTGGGCAGGGAGGGCACAGGGTGCTGAGGGCGTTGAGTGATGAGGGGCCAGTATCTGGCATCAGGGCTTGGCTGGCTCAGCACCATCATAACCCCAGGAACAAGGTCCTTGGCTCCAAACCCACCTGCCCGATCAGTTTTCTCGCCCTAAACCGGGGAGGTGATGACCCCTGTTCTCTCAGATTACCCCGAGGGATGATTGAGAACAAGTCACATGGCTTCAGGCTCCTGTTGCTAATGTCCCAACCAATAAACCGCTGCCGGTGAGGCCCCATGCAGACTCCTGCCTGTCCCAGGGCTAGCCAAGCCCACCCAAGCGCACGAAGGCTTCGGGCGGAGCGAATGGCCACTTACCGCCACCTAGTGGCCTCTGGGGTGTGGGGGGTTGCCAGAGGGAGACCTAGGAGTTCCCTGGGCTTGGGTGGGTGAGAGGCTGTTTGCAGGGCACCACCAAGGGGGCGTGTTTGTGTGTGTGTGATGTGTGTGATGTGAGAGAGACTGTATGGTTTGTGAGTGTATGGGGTGAGTTTGTGAGAATATATGTGCGTGTATATATGTGAGTGTGTGTGAGGACGTCTTTGTATGTGTTGAGAGTGGGTGTGTGTGTCTTATGCATGAATATGTGTATGTGGTGTGTCTGTGTGTGATTGTGTATGTGATATGTGCATTTGTGTGACTGTGTCTGTGAGAGTGGGAGTGTGGTGTGTGTATATGTGTGTGGTGTGGGGAGTTATCAGCCCTTCAGGCATGGTGAAATCATGGTTAGCTATGCCCACCCAACCCAGGGGCTGGTGCAGGTGAGTTGGGCACCCACTGTCCATCTCTGCCCCTTACTGGCTTCGGGCATCTCAAGGAAGCCAAGGGGTGGTGGGTTTTGTGTTGGTGGAGCGGGGGGGAGATCACAGGTCCAGGCCCCCCTCAGCTCCCCAGCCTCAGCCGTTTCTGTGGATAACAGGGGACAGCCGCTCAGCTCAGAGGCCTGGCTCTGTGGTGTCTGTGGTTGTGATGGCCGGGGCGCCACACTCAGTTGCGGTGCTAGAGGTGGGTCAGGGGCTCATGCTCAGGTGCTGCGGGTTACACTCATGGCCTTGGGGCTGAGACAGGTGCTCCCCCACTCAGTCCCCAGGGGCCTGTGCCTGGCTCTGTGCTGCGTCTCCGTCTCCCAGGCCACTGAGAGGCTGGGCCTTGTTGCTCCAGCTTCTGCATCAGCCCTGTGCCTGGCCTCTTAAAGCCTTGAGAAATGTTTAACACCATTGGTGATGGGTGTCTCACTTTTTCCCAGCATGACAGGTGTTCGGTGAGGAAGCCTCTCCCTCATTCTGCTGTGCTGACAGTCCTGTCACCGGTACTCTTTTATACTTTTTCATTTGTTTTGGGGGGCTCAGATGCAGCAGTGCTCAGGGGCTATCCCTGGCTCACTGTGTATCAGTGACTCCCAGCAGTGCTTGGAGGGGAGGGTCAAACCCCAACTTAACCACCTGCAAAGTCTGCCTTTGACCTATTAAGCTCTCTCTAGTCCTGCCCCCATAATTTTATATTTGCTTGTTTGTTTGCTTTTTGGTTTTTAGGCCACTCCTGACAGTGCTCAGGGCTTACTCCTGGCTCTGCATTCAGGAATCACTCCTGACAGGCTCAGGGGACCATATGGGATGCTGGGATCAAACCCAGGTCAGCTGCATACAAGTCAAGCTCCCTACCCAATTGACTATTTTTACTCTGACCTTCTAATTCTTTGTTTCGTTTCACTTGGGGGCCACATCCAGCAGTGTTCAGGGCTTACTCCTGCCTCTGTACTCAAAGATGACTCCTGGTGGGACCGGGGGGCCTCTCTGGGGTGCTGGAATCAAACCCATGTTGTCTGCAAGCAAGGCAAGTGCCCTACCCACCGCTTTTTTATTTTATTTTTTTTATTGCTCCAGCGCTCACAAGTTTATTTGTTTGAAATAAATACAACCTGAGAATATCCATTAAAACCATACACACACGGACATGCATACACACACACACACACACACATTTCACACTGTTTCTCTGCTTCATGGGCATTTACTACCGTGCCTGAGCCTGAGGGCCATTCCCTGTGGTTCTTGGCCTAGTGGTGTGGGTCCCGGGGTTCAGTGGCCAGAGAAGTGGGGTTGCTCTGGCCCTGTAGTATGGAAGCCACAGGGGCCACACTGGGCATTGCTTGTGGGAGTGGGGACCCACTCATGCACAGATGCACTCCTGCTCTTTGAGCCTTCTGGCCAGCCTCCAGACATAATTTCTTTTCTTATTGGGTCATACCCGGCGATGCACAGGGATTACTCCTGGCTTTGCACTCAGGAATTACCCCCGGTGGTGTTTGGGGGACCATATGAGATGCTGGGAATCGAACCCAGGTCAGCTGCATGCAAGGCAAATGCTCTACCCACTGTACTATCACTCCAGCTCCATCCAGACCTAATTTCTTTCCTGAATAAATAGCTCCAGATGAGCATCCATGGCTCTTGGTACGTATCCTCAGCAAGACTTGGGGAAAGGCGAGGGGCCCTCCCTGCCTGGGACCCAGCACCCTTTGCCTGTCCCTGCTGAAATTTCTCATTCCTCCCAGAGTGCCTCTCCGGATAACCGAGAGATTGTCCTTGGCCTCCAGTGCCACCACCGGCCCCTTCCTGATCGGCAGGGACAGGGCCACTCCCCCAGGGCAGGGGAGAAACCAAGGGACGCCTCCTCCCTGGAAGTTCACTGGCCCTGATGAGGGGACACAGCAGTTAGGAGAAGCGGAGATCACGACTCTCCCTTTGTCTTCTCTCTGCAGTCAGAGGTGCAGTTTGGGGGCACGTTCTCTTGGTCGGACGCTTCCTCCTCATCATCTGGGGACTCCTGCATCAGAGCCAGAGAAGCCCCATCACCAAATCCTTCTCAGAGTCAGCACATCCTCCGCCCTGCCCAGGGCCCAGGGCTTCCCTCCCCCTGCTGCCAGCACGGGGTGTCTCACCAGGCTCAGGCCCCTGGCCCGCCGCAGGGCAGTATAGAAGCGCAGGGCCCGCGGGTCACAGCGAACAACCGTGGGGTCGAAGTCCAGCACGCGCAAGCCTTGCAGGCTCCGGGCCCGGGAGAGGGCCACATAGGCCTGGCCACCAGCAAACACCCGGCCCAGAGAGATCTCCACGCAGTCCAGGGACATGCCCTGCAGGAGGAAGCACAGGCCATGTCTCTGGAAGGGACCCCAGGAGCCAGACCCTCTTTCACCAGCTCAGTCACTGTCCCAGCATCTCTCATCCACCCAGAGATGATTGGGCACAGGGTGAGCGGGCAGCAGGGAATCACCTGAGAGGAAAAGGCCAGGAGTAAAGGGAGAGAGATGGGAGCAAAGCTCTGAATTCTGACTCTGCCTCTCCATGACTGGGGCTGGAGTGATAGCACAGCGGGTAGGGAGTTTGCCTTGCACACAGGTGACCCAGATTCAATTCCCACCATCCCATATGGTTTTCCAAGCACCTCCAGGAGTAATTCCTGAGTGCAGAGCTAGGAGAAACCCCTGAGCATCGCCGGTGTGAGCCAAAAAGAAAAAAAAACAAAAAACCTGCCTCTCCATGACTTTGTGACTTGAGACAAGTCACTCAACCTCTCTGAATCTCTTTCTTCCTCTATAAGACAGAAGTGAGGGGCCAGAGAGATAGTACAGCAGGGAAGGCACTTGCAGCTGACCTGGTTCCATCCCCAGCATCTCATAGGGTCGGTCCCCTGAGCATGTCAGGAGCGATTCCTGAGCCGGGAGCCAGGAGTAAGCCCTAAGCATTGCTGGGTGAGGCCCCTAAACAAAACAAAAACAAAAACACCCAGAAATAATTGCTGGGGTCCAGGATGTGGCCTGTGCGACGTCCAGGTTAGAGCCCAGCACTGCCTGTGCCACCAGGCACTGCTGGACAGTGGCCCTGGTGACTGCTGAGTGCAAGTGTGACCCCAATGCTGCCATCAACAACCCTGATGGTCACCTGTAGGGCTCTTAAGTGAGGAGGGCTTCTCCCATCAGAAAGTGGGGCAAGTGAGTATGCAGGAAGCAGAAGAGGAGGGATGGAAAGATCTAGAATCTCTATCAAGGGCAAGTTCAGCCCCATCAAGCTCTGCCTTCACCACTCCCCAGGTGACCTCCACCCTGCCCCGTCGTCCCCTCACCTGGCTCTTGTGGATGGAAATGGCCCAGGCCAGCAGGAGCGGCAGCTGCTGCCGTCGGAGGGGCTGGCCCGAGGAGCTCTGCACGGTCCAGCACTCAGCACGGATGACCTCGGTGACCCCACACAGGAACCGCACCCGGGGCAGCCCTGTGGGGAGCGTGGACTGTCTGCTCATTCCTGACCCCCTCCTGCAGGCCTTCCCTCCTCCACATCCAGAGCACTGAGCTGCCCCTGCCCCCTCACTCATTGACCTCTGCCCTCGGTCTCGAAGCCAATGACCACGCCGCGCGCTCCGTTCACCAGACCTCGAGACACCGCTAGGTTCTTCACGAGCATCACCTGTGAGGGAGTCGAGCAGAGACACCACTGACCGGGGCCTCTCTGCCAGCAGTGTTACTTCCCCAGGCCTGTTTTCCTTCCTGCCTGGGGAGCCGGCACTTGCTCAGTGTGCCTTAGAAGCAGAGAGCAAAGCAGTCCCAGGTGTCACAGGGCTTTGTGATCACCTGAGCTGTGTTCTGCGGGGTGTGTGGACCTGAGTCCCAAGGGCAACCGCCACCCCACTTCCTCCCACACTGTGAAGACATTTCCAGGGTTCCTTTGGGCCTCCCGTGACCCCCGCTTCCATACTGGAAAAGAAAGCGAATTCTCTCAGCATCCCCAGCATCCCCTGAGCCGAGGGAACGAGGAACCACAATTTCAGAGGTGCCTGGGAGTTGGCAGGGGACAGGAGAACATGCCCTGACAGTGGGAAGCACTGGCAGTGGGGGGCAGGCCCAGAGTTGATGCACCCCATTCACCTGGGCCCCCTGCTTCAGCTGGAGCAGACGACTGGCAGGACACTGTGCATCCAAGGTGCGGGCGTACTCTGGGTCACTGTCCATGGCCTCGAAGCAGTGTAGCTCACCTGGCGGGGGGGCAGGGTTGGGGACACATGACAAGTTGCCGGAGTGTGGGGGATCGTCATGGGAAGAGGTAGTAAGGGCGGTGCAGGCCTAGCCAAGGCTCTGGGTTTAGAGACCTGAGTTCGAGCCTCACTTTCAGCACCAACAGCCCATTCAAGGGCCCGGCCCTCAGACTCACAGTCATATCAAGAAACGTCACTGTCAATCAAACTCGGGTCGGTCATGTTGGCTGCTTGCAAGGCAAACGCCCTACCCGCTGTGCTATCGCTCCAGCCCATCAACAAACGTAAGGGCTTTAAAAGACATTTTTGGGGGGCATAGTATAGCAGTACGCACTTGCCTTGCACAAGGCTGACCCAGGTTTGATCCCTGGGATTCCGTATGGTCCCCGAGCTGGGTTCGATTCCTTCGCCCCTCTTGGAGAGCCCGGCAAGCTACCGAGAGTATCTTGCCCGCAGGACAAAGCCTGGCAAGCTATCCGTGATGTATCCGATATGCCAAACATAGTAACAAGTCTCAATATGGAGACATTACTGGACCCGCTAGAGCAAATCGATGAACAATGGGAGGACAGTGCTATAGTGAGTGCTACAGTGCCTTGAGCACTGCCAGGAGTGATTCCTGGGTGCAGAGTCAGAAGTAATTTCTGAGCATTGCCAATTGTGGCCCAAATATAAAAAACAAAATGAGGAATTTTGGGGGGCACTGTAACCATATCTGATGACACTTAGGAGCTACTAACTTTTTTTGTTTGGTTTTGGGCCACACCCATCAGTGCTCAGGGGTTACTCCTGACTCTGCACTCAGTGATCACTCCTGGTTATGTTCAGGGACCATATGAGGTGCTGGGGATTGAACCCAGGTCAGCTGTATGCACAGCCAGTTCCTTAACCCGGTTCTACCTCTTTGGCCCTCAAGCCTGAGTACTCATGACTTAGTACTCAGGGGCACTTCCTAGCAGTGCTCAAGAGGACCCAGTGGTGCTAAGGGGTCAGGCCCAGGACAAAGCATGTAGCCAGCCCATTGAGCTTCTCCATGGCCCTAGAACTTTGTTTTTTTTTTTTTTTTGGCTTTTTGGGTCACACCCGGCGATGCTCAGAGATTACTTCTGGCTCATGCACTCAGGAATTACTCCTGGCGGTGCTCAGGGGACCATATATATGGGATGCTGGGAATTGAACCCGGGTCGACCGCATGCAAGGCAAATGCCCTACCCACTGTGCTATCGCTCCAGCCCCCCATAAGAACTTTTATCACGATCACGATCATTCTGTTGTTCGTCGATTGCCTTGAGCAGGCACCAGTAACATCTCATTCATCCTAGCCCTGAGAATTTAAAAAGTGCCATATTCAAGGCTCTTTCAGGGTTAGGAGAATGAGGCCCATCATTGTTACTAGTATTTGTCATATTGGGTACACCATGGGGAGTTTGCCAGACTCTGCCGTGTGGACAGGTTACATTCGGTAGCCTGCCAGGTTGTCCAAAGTAAGAATGAGATAATAAAAATTGAAAAAAAAAAGACCTATAAAGACAAGCCAGATACCCCAAGGACTGATCCTCCCAGGACCTTTTGCCCGCAGCCCTTACTCACCTGGCAGCTCCTGAAGCCGCTTCTCATTGGTGAGAGCCACATCGTCCTGGTGTGTGCAGAGCCGCGTGGCCATGATTCCATCACGTCCTACTTTGTGGGCCGCAGTGGCCTGGAGCTGGCGTGTCACCTCTTCGGAGCATCTGTGGGGGCAGATCTGTTGGGGTAGAGTCTGCCTGAGCTTCAGGGAAGGGGCTAGGGGTAGGCCTGGGGACCAGAGAGGCACACTAGGCTGTGCTGTTTCTGCACAAGGACCCCTATGAGGGGACTGAGTCAGGGCGGGGAAGGACTATAAGGAAGCGAGCAGAGGGGCTGGAGTGATAGCACAGTGGGGATGGTGTTTGCCTTGTACACGGCTGACCTGGGTTTGATTCCCAGCATCCCATAGGGTCCCCGAGCACTGCCAGGGGTAATTCCTGAGTGCAGAGCCAGGAGTAACCCCTGAGCATTGCTGGGTGTGACCCAAAAAGAAAAAAAAAGAAAGAAAGTGGGCAGAGACGAGTGTGACCAGGCCAGAGGTTCAATGGTTTTTATCTTTTTCTTTCTTTTTTTTTGTTTTGTTTTGTTTTTGGGCCACACCAAGAGGTGGTCAGGACTTACTACCAGTTCTGCACCCAGGAATTACTCCGGTGGACTCAGGGGACCATATGGGATGCTGGAGATTGAACCTGAGTTTGTGTGCGCAAGACAAGCTCCCTACCTGCTAAATTATCACTCTGGCCCCAGAGGTTTCTTCTTTTTTTTTTTTTTGGTGTGTGTGTGTGTGTGTGTGTGTGTGTGTGTGTGTGTGTGTGTTTGGGTCACACCCAGTGATGCACAGAGGTTATTCCTGGCTCTGCACTCAGGAATTACTCCTGGCGGTGCTCAGGGGACCATATGGGATGCTGGGAATCAAACCTGTGTCGGCCACATGCAAGACAAACGCCCTACCCGCTGTGCTATCGCTCCAGCCCCCAGAGGTTTCTTTTTATGTTGTTTTGTTTTGAGGCCATACCCAGCTGTACTCCGAGTTTACTCCTGGCTCTGTGTTCAGGGATCACTCCAATGATGCTCAGGGGACTATATGGTACGCTGAGGATAGAATCCAGGTTGGCCACATGGAAAGCAAGAGCCTCCCTCTCTATTGCTCCAGCCCTAAATAACCATCTTTTTGTTTGTTCTCTGGCCACACCCAGAAGTGCTTGTGGTTTTCTCCCCAGGTCAGTGTAGAGGAGTCATTCTCAACCCCAAGGAGCCGGGGATGGAGCCTGGGTCTCCCATATTCACTCCAGCCCTGTGAACTATCGTCCTGGTTCAAAAAGGCCTATTTTCCATGGGGCCATGCTGCTTTTCACCCCCGTCTGCCCTTCCCAAGGGACAAGCATTTCTCCACCTTCCAAGGGCGGGGCAGGATGAGCCTCTCTTGTGGCCCGGTCTCCCACTCTGCGCCCCAGCACCCACCTGCCTAGCCTCACAGCCTGTAGGAGAGAGATGAAGGTCTGGTCGGCCTGCCTCCATACTTCGGTCAGTTCCAGGGTCACTGAGATACATCTCCTCCAGCTCTTGGCCTAGGGAGGCAAAGTGGGAGTGGGAGTGAACCCAAGAGACCCCCAAGAGTGGGGTTAGGGGCAAGGCCAGAGAGTGAGGGGTACCTGAAAGCAGAACTGAGGGGGCTGGGAGCCTTTGGTTACAGGTGGCAGCTGCAGGAAGTCCCCACAGATGATGAGCTGGATGCCCCCGAACGGCTTGTCCTGCTGTCGGACCACCCTGGAGAAGAACCAGGGGCTCAGGGGCGGGCCAGGTGGCTTCCTCCTCTGCCCAGCCCTTGCTGCCTGCACTGACCTGGCCACGGCCTCCAGCTTGTCAAACAGCTCAGCCTCCACCATGGAGATCTCGTCGATAACCAGCCGCTGGCAGCTCAGCCAGGCCTGCCGCACCCCTGGGCGCTGGGCCAGCGCCACACACTGGGCCAGTGGTGCCCGGCCTGAGCCGATGCCTGGGAGGGGACATTCTTCAGCCTAGACCTCCGGACCTCCCCCTCTCTCCCGCAGGATGCTCCCAGGGATTCCCGCTTACCTGCAAAGGCATGGAGGGTGGTGCCCCCAATGTGGCAGGCAGCCACACCAGTACTGGCAGTGGCCACAGTGCCCGTGGGGGGCAGCGAGCCCAGGATGCGCTTCAGCAGGTAAGACTTGCCTGTACCTAGGAGAGCGGAGTCAGGCCCGCCTGCACCCCCCATGCCGCCCCCCCCACACACACACATACACCAGACACACACTACCTGCACTTCCGGTGAAGAAGACACTCTGGCCTTGCAGGACAGCTCTTAACACAGCAGCTTGCTCCTCAGAAAGCCTGGATTTGCAGGGGGGCAGACTCAACTTCCTCGCCGGCAGGGGCCACCTAGGGGATTTCTGTGAGGGATACAGCAGCTCAGTGACTTCCTTCCCACCGACAGGTACTGACCGATCCCTGCCCAGCCTGGGAGCAGTGTGAGGCCCAAAGCCCTTGATGTCCAGCAGCCTTCAGTCCTGGGAGCCAACAGAGTCTGCCAGTAACTATTGGGGTCCGGGTCTCTTCTCTGGGGAGAGGGTCAAGGGATGGTTTGGGCCATACCCAGTGGTGCTCAGGGCTTACTCTTGGCTCTGAGCTCAGGGATCATTCCTGGAGGAGGTCAGGAGACCAAATGGGGTGCCAGGATGAAACCTGGGAGAGCCAAATGCAAGGCAAGTGCCTTAATGATCTCTCCAACCTCTGAAGTTCCTTCTTTGCTTCTTCCTACAAACCTGTCTCTCAGCTCCAAATGCTTAAGCAAAACTCTTCCTGGTCAGGGTCCTCCTTCCCCATTCTTGTGAGTGTGGGAGAGACTGTGGCTGCACTCAGCCTGACCCAGTGGCCTGGGAGAGCTATGGGCTCCTGGGGTGCAGTGCTTCTCCTCTGGTTGTGCAGGGGCCACTGAGACCATGCCCTGCCCAGGGGGGAGCACCATGACGCCTCTTGCCTCAGCACTACCTTCCCACAGCCTCATCTCAACCCTTGGGATCTGTGATCACTCCAGAACCCACCAGACTTGCTCAAATCCCCTGTCTGCCCCATCGGACCTGGGAACTGTCCCTGGCACCAGCCACAGCCTTCTCTCCAAAAGGTTCTCTCCTCCAGGCTGACCGCAATCAGCTGTCCCTTCTAAAGTCGCCTTTAAAACCCCTTTTCTGCTCTCTCCTTTTTCTTCTTTTTGCTTTTTGGGTCACACCGGTGATGCAGAAGGGTTACTACTCCTGGCTCATACACTCAGGAATCACTCCTGGCGGTGCTCAGGGGGACCATATGTGATGCTGGGAATCAAACCCGGGTCAGCTGCGTGCAAGGCAAATGCCCTACCCGCTGTTACTATCGCTCCAGCCCCTCTGCTCTGTCCTTCCTATGGCCGGCGTCCTTTTTTTCTGCTAGCCCTTGCCGGGTGTCTCGGAGGCGGTGCGCGGTAGGACTCGAGGGGACCATTCTCACATCCTGCTCCAATGGGACGCCCTATGCCCAATGCACCAAAATAACCGCCTGTCCGTCCCCCATCCTCTTCCATTCCCTGCTCTCACCGTGCTGGGATCCGACCCCGAGGGGGTCTCCGTGGTGGTCGCTTTCCCCCGTGCCGAGTCCGGGCCCCGGGCGGCCGCCGCGCGCCGCAGCTCCTCGGGCTGCACCGGGCTGATGGTGACGAAGTCGCGGGGTCGCGGGTCGAGCAGCTGCGAGCGGGAGGAGCCGGGCGCGGGGCCGGGGGCAGCGGCCAGTTTGAGGCGCAGCGTGCGCAGGAAGCGGCGCAGGCGTTCGGGGGGACAGTCGGAGAGCAGCAGCTGCACGGAGCCGCGTGGGGGCGCGCCCGGCCCGGGGACCCGCAGCGCGCTGCGCCCGGTGGCCGCGAAGCGCGTGAAGAGGCGCGCGGCGCGCAGGGGGAAGCAGCGCGCGGGCTCCGAGGGTCCCGGGGGCTGCAGCCGCAGCAACAGCTCGCGGCGTTCGTTGCGACCCAGGCTCAGCTCGGCCGAGCGCAGCGCCTGGCGCTTTCGTGGCTGCCCGCCAGGGCTCAGCTCCTCCACCGTCACGCGGCACCGCAGCTCCGCGTCCTCGCATTCCGCCTCGGTGCCCGACAGCATCGCCACCGGCTCCGGAGGGTCTGCTTGGGGAAACGGGACAATGGGGAGGCAGAAGACAAGAATGGGTGAGATGGACAAGGGAAGCCACGTCGAGTCACGGAGGCCGGTTACTGGTGACACTGAGTGGTCACAGAGATGGACAAAGGGTTCTAGCGCCAACCGAAAATTCACTTTGAATATCTTGGACCGCCCCTACACTAGCTCCCAGAACGACCGACGGTCAGTGTCAGAGGCACTTGGGCTGGGTGCACGCCTACATCCCAAAGACCCAGGATGGGCTCGGGAGTTTTTTTGTTTCACTTTTTTTTTTTAAGTTTTTTTTTGGGGGGGTGGGGGAGGATGTCACACCCGGTGGTGCTCAAGAGCTACTCTTGGCTCTGAGCTCAGGAATCACTGCTGGCAGGTTCAGGGGACCCTATGGAACGCCTGGGATGGAACCCGGGTCGGCCGCGTGCAAGGCGAGAACCCTACCCGCTGCACCATCGCTCCGGCCCAGGCCCGGGAATTTTTTGGGTCAGTCTCGCATGGGCAAATGGAAAGGGGACTGGCATAAGCGTCCGCTGTCTTGTAAGAACGTTTCTTTGCAGCCGGCAGACCTCTCAATTTCTGCGTCTACAGAAGTGCAGACAGGCCCAGAGAAGCCGCAAACGACTGCCAGACGTTAACACTGAGGGTTCCGAAGCCCTGGAGTTCCCCATCCCCGAGGTGCAGGCGGGATGCAGATTATTTGGCTGGGGTAGGGGACCCGTCAATGCATGCTCCCTCCATCTGACCTATTTCTTTTCACCCTCCCGGGATGGGCTCCAGGAAGAAGCAGGATCTCTGTCTCCCGCTCCGGCGTTCAGATGGACACTCACTTGAGCCGGCACTCGATGGACGGAATGAATAAAGCTGGCCTGCGGGCGACACTCGGGAACTGGAACTGGAAATTTCAAATACTAGAAGTTGAAAATCGTCCTATCACCGCCGGATCTTTAAACGCTCCAGCCAATCAAAAGGGGGTAGGGGCGGGGCCTCTGGGCGGACTCCGCCAATCGCCAGTTGCATGCAGAGGGGCGGGGCAGGGAGAGCGGAAGTGCGGGGAGAACCCGGCTAGCTCCTAGCCGTGGCAGCCGGGACGCCACGCCGTGTCGAGTCACCCAGGGTGCCTCCGAGGATTTGTTTTCAAAACCGCCCTCTATCCCACCTTCATCTCTTTTAACCGTTGCTTACATTTCGAGGCCTGCTACGGCGACCTCCCCACCTCCGCACTCTGAACCCTTCACTCTTCTCTGCCTTTGTAAGACTTTTTTTTCCCTGTTTTCTTTTCTTTTTTTTCCTTTTGGTTTTGGGGTCGGCGGTGCTCAGGGGTTACTCCTGGCTTTGCACTCAGGAATCACTCCTGATGGTCCTCTGGGTACATATGGGATGCCGAAAGATCGAACCCAGGTCGACCCTGTGCAAGGCAAATGCCCTACTCGCTGTACTATAGCTCCACCCCCAACCCCACCCTCTTTTTCCCTTTTCTGGCCACACTGTGCTGTGCTCCGGAATCACTCCCAGAGGACTCTGGGGACATATATGGTGATAGGGTTGAACTCAAGTTGGCTGATGCATTAAAGACAAGTGCCTTGCCTGCTGTACTCTCTGGCTCGATCCTTTTAATCTTTTGTCTTTCGCATCGTGGAATAACGGGGGTCTCTGACATGGGTCCAGTTTTGAGCCTTCTCCGCTTACCCAGGAATGTTATCCTGGACCTGAGATGTGGAGCAGAGTACCCAGGGAACTTCCCTCTCCCCCCACCCCTTCAACCTTGCCTGTCATACATAAGAAGCATGTGTTCTACAACCGAGTTACATCCCTGCCCCCTAAATACCACTTTGCTGTTGTTTGAGTATGGTGGTGGGGAGGGCAGAGAGAGGGCAAGAGAGACAGTACTGTTGGCTCTGAAGGTGAAAGAAAAGGTCAAGAGGGGCTGAAGAATACAGTGGGTAAAGTACTCAGTGCCTTTCATGGCCCCCTGAGCCCCTTCAGAGTGATTCATGAGAACAGAACCAGAAGTAAGGTCTGGTCTGAACACTGCCAAGTGTGGTCCCCCAAAAAAAGAAGGGAAGAAGAAATGACCAAGGGCCAAGACAAAAGACAAAGTCTTCTACGGGGCCCGGAACAATAGTACAGTGGGTAAGGCGTTTGCTTTGCACACCACTGACCCGGGTTCGATCCCCAGCATCCCATGCACTGCCAGGAGTAATTCCTGAGTGCAGAGCCAGGAGTAACCCTTGAGCATCGCTGGGCGTGACCTCAAAAAATGAAAAAAAAAAAAAAGCTAAAGAAAACAAAATAAAACAAAGGCTTCTAGAATGGAAAAGCAGTACAATAAATTGCCTGCCTAGTATCTACAGAAGAAACATGAAGCTCTTCCTGTGTGTATGTGTGTACTTTGCACACTTGAGCAGCAACCAAAAACCAAGTTCGGGGTCTTTGAAATTCACTCTACCACTAAGATAAATTCTGACCAGGAAGGAACACAACTCTTGATTTTAGCCCAATGAGACACATTTCAGATTTACAGAAGTACAGTGTAATAATTTGTTACAGTGTTGTGTAATTTGTTACAGCAAAAGCAATCAGAAACAAATATAATGGGGCTGGAGAGATTGTTCAGCAGGGAGGGTACTTGTCTTGCACATGACCAACCTGAGTTCAATCTGCAGCATCCTATATGTTCCTGGGAACCCTGCCAGAAGTGATTCCTGAGCACAGAGCCAGGAGTAACCCCTGAGGATCTCTGGGTGTGGCAAAAATAAAACAAATGTAGGGCTGAGGAGAGAGAGGTAAGGGCCAGAGTGCTTTGTCTTAGGTGTGATCCCAGGCACTTTGTTCCCCAGAGTGTGCTGGAAGCCATATCATAGTGAAAAGCTGAGATTTGCTCGTTGCCATGCTGGGTGTGACCAAAGCCCCTAAAAGAAATATAGTCATTATGGCTGGAAAGTGAAAGAGCCGGCATTATGAGCAAGGTCTGTTTCCAGAGATGTTATCTTTCCAGTATCGATGCCTCCTAAGTGGTCAGTGCCTGCAGCTCCTTCCTGCCTGGTCTCCAGAGAAGGCACATACACTCTGCACACATTTCTCTGCAGGCTTTCAGGCTTAAAAAAATAAAATAAAATGTCAGTGAGCATACCCTGCAGTACCCAGGATTTACTCCTGCTCTGACCTTAGGGATTACTCTTGGTGGTACTTGGGCGACCATATGCGGTTCCAGGAATTGAGCTTAGGTCCGCTGCATGCAAGGCAAGCGCCTTTACTGCTGTACTATCACTCTGGACCAAACTTTTTTGTTTGATTATTTTTGGGCCACACCTGGTGATGCTTTGGGATTATTCCTGACTCTGCACTCAGGGGCTTCTCCTGTCAGGGCTGAGGGGACCATATGGGATGCTAGGGATCGAACTCGGATAGCCACATGCAAGGCAAGCACCCTACCCACTGTGTTATCACTCCGGCCCCTGGCTCCAATTTTTAAAATGGTAAAATACAAAAAAAAAATTATCATGCTATTTTTATTAAGTCATTTTCATTACCATCACTCTACTATCTATGTCCAGAAAATTATCATCACAAATAGTAACATTGTAGAAAATAACTTTCAGATTATTTTGTTTTTGTTTATTTGTTTTGGGATCATCTCAGAGAGCCCGGCAAGCTACCGAGAGTATCTTGCCCGCATGGCAAAGCCTGGCAAGCTACCTGTGATGTATTCGATATGTCAAACACAGTAAAAAGTCTCACAACGGAGACATTACTGGGCCCGCTTGAGTAAATCGATGAACAACGGGAGGATAGTGCTACAGCGCTACAGTTTTGGGATCATACTCAGGGGTTGCTCCTGGTTGTGCACTCAGGAATTAGTCCTGGTGCTGCTCAGGGGAACATTTGGGATGCCAAGGATTGAACCTGGCAAGTACCACACATGTGTAATATTGTGGTGATCTCTAACTTTTGGATTCTTCTCCCCTCTGACTCTCTGAACCCCCAAGTATTTTATCCTGGAACTGTTACAATATAAAACTATTGCCATGGAAACATTTGCCACAAACTTCCATAAGGAAGGGTTAAAGAATTTTTCAGTAAACACCCATATACCCTCCATGGGAAGTCTGTATTGATATTTTGCTGTATTTATTATTATTTTTTCTTTTGCTGTACTTATTTTATCATGTGCTATTCATCGCCCCAAACCTGCTTTTGGTATACCTTTCCAAATTGTGGTTCAGCTTGAGAGCATTTGCCTTCTGTGTGTGAGATCTTGGGTTCGATACCTGACACCACACAAACACATAAAGCAAAGGTGAGGACAACAGGACTTTTTTTTTTTTTTTTGCTTTTGCTTTTTGGGTCACGCCCGGCAATGCACAGGGATTACTCCTGGCTCTGAACTCAGGAATTACTCCTGGTGGTGTTCAGGGGACCATATGGGATGCTGGGAATCGAATCCGGGTGGCCACCTGCAAGGCAAACACCCTACCTGCCGTGCTATTGCTCCAGCTCCATTTTTTTTTTAAATGTAGGAGTACTGCTATTTATTTAGTCATTGATTAAGCTGATTGAAGTGGGCATGACCTCTACATTACTTTTTTTTCAATTGAATATCCATGAGATAGATCATTACAAAACTGTTCATAATTGGGCTTCAGTCATACAATGAATGATTCAGCACCCATAACTCCACCAGGGTACATTTCCCACCATCAATGTCCTCTGACAACAGGACATGTTGCATCTAAATATTTTAGCATTAAAAAAAATATTTTAGCATAACACTAGAGTTCATGCTTACCCCACTGCCCCAGTCCCCAATTTGTTTTGTTTGGGGACATACCCAAATTCTAAAACTTCCCTTTTTTTTTTCTTCTTTTTGGGTCACACCCAGTGATGCACAGGGGTTACTCCTGGCTCTGCACTCAGGAATTACTCCTGGTGGTGCTCAGGGGACCATATGGGATGCTGGGGATTGAACCCGG